ATATGCCGCGCATAAATTTACATATTAAGGCATTAATGATTCCATGTTTACATTAAATTTTCCCTCGCCGTCAACTCATCACTTTCGCGTTTCGTTATATATATGTACAATCGCGATGCGGGCTGAGACTATATTCGTAGTCCAGCTACTCTTAAAAGCAAAGTACTCGATTCTCGTTTATTATCGTTTCGTCACAAGAATAGAAAGGCAATTATGAACAAAATAACTCAAAATCCAAGGCTTGTCTTGGTATATTCGCCGAAATATTGTAATTTCTTGATTTGTTCGATTCCACAATTTTCTAAGGTTTGCTACGACAGTATGTTACATAATGTAAACGCACACACTATTCACAGTTGGAAAATTTATGTTTTCTTGTTAAAAAATATGCCGGTTAAAATTTTTGTGTTAAATATTTAACACATTCATGTGTTTATTTAACACATTACTGTTGTGTTAATTGAACTTAAATATTAAATTATTAAAAAAATTAAAAAGAAAAATATAAAAATAACACAATATGCACATATTTTTAATCTTACCCAATAATTATATTCCGTATTATTAGTGACAGGATTTATCTGTTAAAATTTACAGGAAAAAATGTTGATTTTATTCTATGTATAATAGAAGTGAAAGTTTGACTACAGACCGTCAATAATTCTGTTAAATTTTAACTTTGTTATTTTTATCATTAAAATATGTTGATTTTATATTACATTCTTATATAAAGCTTCTCTCGGAGAAAAAAAAGTCGCATTTCCATTATCATTCTTGAATAAATCAGTAAATAATCAATCATTTTCCGCTTTGAAAGATAATTGAGATGTTTATGGTCGTTAATATCCATTTGATTTTCCGATAAAAAATAAAAGGATCTCGTCTTTCAGATGATGTATTGTTGAATCCGCAAAAAAAAATTATTACAGGTATAAAGTTTCAAAACACTGTTATTTGCATAACAAAAATGAGATTTAAGATCAAAGGTTTCGCAACATTCTGCTGTTCGCGACAAGATATACGCGGATAGATATCCCTCGAATTTGTTAGCAATCGGTCTAATGAGGCCCGAGAGCGGATCGATCTAGAATCACTCTCGAAACGAGACTTTCACTCGCTTTTTCGTGCGCGCACCGTTACTTTTGTGCCACCGGTTAGACCTCGTGCAAGCGTAATAACAAGAGAGAGATGCCCGCGCGAGATCTCTCGGACACAGAATCGCGCGCGCGAGTAAAAGTTAAGAATAGACGCCACAATGAGTAACATCTTTTGCGGCAATTACTGTTAGATGAAAAGATGAGGCTCTTTAGAGAGCACCGCGAGAAATTACGAAAGTAGCGTTGTTGCAACGCTTATCTTTACATACAATTCATCTAGTTTCGTAAGGTAGCGTGCGACGGAGACGAGGAGGAGAATAACGAGATGGCAAAAACCGTTTCCAACACCCCACGTGGCAATTTATACGCCTATCTCGAGCGTATCTTTGGACAGTGATGCTGTTAAGTTAATCATCCGAATCATTTGCTCGCTATTTTTCAACTGTATCGTTTTGACGTATATCACAGTTGAAAAATTTATATCTTTTTGTTAAAAAATATGCCGGTTAAAATTTTTTTATTGAGTATTTAACACATTTATGTATTAATTTAACATATTGCCGTTGTGTTAGCTCAAATATTAAATTTACAGAAAAAATGTTGATTTTATTCTACAAGACCGTCAATAATATTTTTCCAAGTTAATTTTATCATTAAAATATGTTGATTTTATACAAAATTTATTTCAAATTACTCTGAAATTTGCATTAATTTTGTGTTGAAATATATTAACATAGTATTATTGTCATCAATAAACATATTCATATTATGTTAAATTAACATAAAAATTTGTATGGACCGTTTGTAATATATGTTAAATTTAAGTCAAATTTTTCAACTGTGTTCGTTTATTTCGCTTTACTATAAATTATTAATAGAAAAATAATTATGAACAAAAGAATTCAATCTTCAAGTATTCTTATTGTAATGGTGTATTACACATATACGGAAACTTTCTACGTAATGTATAAGCGAAAACTTAAAAATCAGACTGTCGTATTTAGCGATAGATTCGGTGAAAATACGAGCCTTGAACTTTCGCTGGTCTCTCAGAGATAATGATGTATTCGCTCGCAGTTTGCATTTAACAAGATAAACACTTAACTTCAACATAGTGTTTTGAAAGTAGGGGCATAATTTTTTATATTATTACGGAGGTACGCATAGGCAGGTCGGTAAATCGATTCTTGATGTTTTATATATTTTCTTTTTCATTTTTGATATTTTATAAATATTCTCAAAATTTTAAGTTGAGATTTATTGAAATAACAGAGATAATGGTTTTTCAGTAAAAAAAGTCAAGAATATATATAATCTAGAATATATATGTTTTTGAATAAAGAAATCTTATTTTAAAAGACCGTGTTTCTAGAAAAAAAAAAATTAAGAAAAATCATTATTTTCGTCGTTTTAGATGTAGTGCGGATAAGCAACGTGTTTCGAGGACTCGCAATATTAGCAACTCACAAAGAGAAAAAAGAAAATATAATAATGTTAAACAAAAATATAATTTCTCTTTTGCGTGCGCACATAAATGTCTATACAAGTTAAAATGTACAGATCTTTATTTAAATCTTTTTTTCTAGCTTTGCAAATATGGAGTGGAAGAGGGAGGCCTCTTTCATTATTCTCTTTTAGGACCGAGAATCTATGGTTATGCCAAAATGCTGCGTAAAATATACACTGTGTCTTTAACGTGATACGTTGCTCTGCGGTCTTGTGAAATACGATTAATCATGTAAATAAAATGGAGCAAATTAATAGCGAATTCGGTCAAATGCGCTCACTGGTGTATATTTTTAAAGCCATTGTTACATAAAATTTATCATGATGCAGAAGCATTGCACGAAAGCGTCCCGATCATTGAAATGATCTAGCGTAAATTCTGAGCATTTCGTTAGTGAACCGATTTTACGCTATACTCACGTTTTTATGTCACTCTATGCAAGACCATTTTTTTTTAGATATACACTATTGTGTATTCTATTCGAATTCGCTGTAGAAGATAAGGGTTTATTTGCTTCATATTTACCTATATGACACAATATCTAGGAATCGAAAGGTTGACCGCTTCGCACGCATCAACATTTCTTTTCCATAGTCTCGTTAATCAACTGGTCGGGAATCTTAATGTCTATGTTTATATTGTAAAGCATTCTGCGAAAGCCGTCATCCCGTAATCGCGTGTATGATTATACCAACAGAACATATAAAAATTTTAGGGTTAATTAATATTTCTTTAAATTTTTCGATATTTAATTTCCAAACAATATTTAAACAATATATAAAAAATATTTATAATTTCAAATCGATATTTAAATTTTTAAATATTTAATAATCCTGATATTAATCTCTGAGATCCTTTATGTAAACAAAAAGTGTAAAATTTTTTATATTATTATTGTGATCTTTAATGAATTAAGGGAGATATCGTATGTTTTAACTTTTTTAAATTTATTTACTATAAACATTGTGATTACCATTTTCATTTACGGATTCGAAAATCTCTCTCGATGATAGCGATTATGGGTGGACGAGCTATTCATTTCAAGCCTAATATACATTGAGTATTAGGTTTACAAAACAGACATCCCTACCTTATCTTGTAGGGTTTCAAGGGGTCGGATCAGTGATTTCATAGCGAAGGATATGGAGTTTCTAAGGAAATCGGAGAGGTGGGAGCTCGAGCTCGATACGTATATAGGGCCAGGAGAGAGACCGGTTACTCCCGCAGTTTGTGCCAATCGGCTATCTGTCGTCGCGGTGAGCTACATACCTCCTTCCAATGGTTCACAGCGGAACCTTGACATTTTGGTCCACCAAACTCTAGCCGCCCGATTACCTAGACAAGTCATATTTTTTTTACGGTTCATCCGTCGTGATTAACAGTTTATCTCAATGATAAAAGTGATAAGAACGCTTCATTCCAAAAAACATCAAATTTAAATGATTTTATGCTATCTTTTCATGCACAACACACACAAAATTAATATTTGTAATTCTATAAAGCTAAACAAATAAGAAAAATAATAAAGTTAGCCAGTGTTTCAAGTAAAAATATCGGATATTATTTTAATTATAATTTTTTGGTTTAATTTTAAGGGATATTATGATTTATTAAATTTTTCTTAATTATTAAAATTGCAAGTTCTCTTAACAAGACTTTAAGTAAAAATTTTATTAAAATAATATTTATTTAATACGAAATATGCAAAATATGATTTTTATCTGTTTTCTTTTCTAAAATTTAATTTGTCAAATATCTCACACAACTGGGTTTCTAAAAATTAATTATTTAAAAACAGCAGATGTACTTTGATATTTTTGCTAGAAAAAAGAGGATCAATTGTAAATCATCTGCATCAGGATTTATTAAATAGCATATTTGCTGATTTTGGAATACTCTGCAAATATGGTTTTATAAGAGAGAAAGAAAAATACAAAAAACATACATCAATCCAATCAATAATGGAGCGAACAAAATATCACGTCTTGAATGACAGAAACGTGAAATTTACCTCGTTTTTCGTAACTCGATCCCAGTCCAGTAGCATGAACTCGAGGCTGACGTTGTTGAGTCCGTCCGCGCCATTCGGTATATCGAAGACGAAGGATTCATTGAACACCGGACTGAGCGTACGTTTCTTCACGTGCGTCTTCTTCTTGGCGATACGTTGCTGATTGTACAGAAGGTAAATCTTCACGTACGGATCAGCGAGTCCGGTCACGTCCATCTTGGGTAGATTTCGCGCTTTTAACACCACTACTGTTAGGCGGCTAGTGACTGGCTGCCAGCAAAGCGAGACCAGCAATTCTCCTCTTCCTTGCGACTGTATCTAAAAAAAAAAGTAAGGGAAGAGAAAAGAAAAAGTATTTGCATGTAAAGCAGTATTTATCATAGTATTCATCTATAGACGGTGTCCCATCCTGTTCTTAAATATTCTTTTCCATAAAAAGCTTTTGATCGACAGAGAATCTATTTTTCTTCAATGAAAATATTGAGGCAGCTTTTCGGATAATTAATGATTAAAAATAAGAAACTTTAGTAATAAATTAAATGTCGGGAGAAAAGAGATAACGACAGAATTGAAGGTAAATTAAGCGTATAATTATATTAAAAATTATGATCTTTATAATTATATTTTTTAGACAAGTTTCGAGTTTTTTAGACAAGAACGAATTTTACTTGAATAAAGGAAAATAGCCAAGAAAGTTTATAAGAAAATCTGCTGATTTCTTTTGTAAGATATATTACATCATATAAATATTATACGTTATGTGTTTATTTTTAGAAAGTTTTCGAGATATTTACCTTCAAACTTCTAGGGCATATTTTTCGACAGAGAGATATCTCCTGATTATCCGCGTCTTCTAAACCGGGCACTGATGACAAAGCACATGTCAGTTCTCCGATAATATCGTCGCGAGAGTATCTATCGAAACTCAACACGATGAAGTGTAAGCTAATTTTCTGGAATCACAATCGTCAAATAGGTTATCCTTTTTTTAAGAAACAAATTTGTTATAATCATCTTAATTACACTAAAAATAAAATTTTTTCGATTAAATAGATATACACATTTTGTTAATTTTGATTTTTTTTCACTTATAGATATAGACTTTTAATAAATATATACTTTGTTTCCAAAAATGTTTTGTTATGTTAAATAAATTATTACTTGTATGTATTAAAAATTATAATTTTTAAAATACATTATTTAAAATTTTAATATAAAGAAATAAATATAGAAAAATA